CATCCAGGCTTCACAGGTGCTACCTTTCCCTATACTTTTACGTGCAGGAAACTCTTTTTTTCAAGCATTCTATACAACAGATGCTAGCTGCTGCCTAAGCAGCAATGTTGAGCAAACCCAAGTGAGACAGTCTGAGCAATGAATCAGGTGGCATGCAGTTTGATGGTAGAGAATTATATGCATGCATGCAAGTCTACAAGAGAATTGCTTTCAAGGCATTTCATCCAGCTTGACAGAGATACCATAGATCCATGGGTATTGTGGTCTCCTGGACAGAAACAAACGTGAAAGACCATGTGGTTGGTGGTTAGTCTTAGTCAGGGTGAGTCTTGCAGACACAAAGGCACACAGAGCAAATCCATGGAAACGAGCAGTACTGAATGCCTGGAACAGAGGGAAGCACGGCCATCGGTGGCACAGACAAATGCCTCACTGGACACACCATCAAAAAGCCTTTGGAGAGCCACTGGCTGTGTGAGAAGTGGCTTGCTAATTTGCATATGTGCAAATTCCTCACCCATGGGCACAGTCTTAGTGAACTCTTTCAATAAAACACTTATTTAAGCTGTGCAAGAACATCAAAAGGCAATGGACCTCTTTAGTCATCATAACTGTATTTAACCTGTATTGCTCTAAATACTACTTTTCAGTTACTCAAACTTAGTTTACTGTTGTTGGGTTTTTTGGTTGGTGGTGGTGGTGGTTTTGATTTTTTCTAGAATAAAAAAATCTCTGCAGATTTAAAAAAAAAAAAAAAACAAACCTGGGAATGTTCTTGTTCATTGTGAATGCAAACATACACCCTGCTTGTTTCATGCCTGCTCAGGCAGGGCTTTAAACAATTGTTTGCTTCTCTCCAACTTGCCTGTGCATGAGCCAAGGAAATAAAAGGGTGGGCAGGTCACCAGGAACCAGGGTTGCTGCTGAAAGCCTGTTGATGTTAACACAAAAGTACAGGGAAAAGGTGTCCGCTTTCAGATTGTTGGGAAGTTCAGTGTTGCCAGGCATTACAAACTTTCTAGATCATTTGTTAATAATACATCTACTGTACAGTGCGCATCTGGGAAGCCACTGAAGAAACAGCAGGCTTTGTAGGATCCTGTCTGGTCAGTTGCCCGAGCATGGATAAGAAAGGCATCCCAGAAAATAATCTGTCCTTTGCACTGCCAGATCTGACTAATGCCTATTGTCAATGCTCCTGCCTCTCTAATTGTCAAGGGAGTTTTTTCAGGTGAGCTGCTGCTTGTATTCCTAATCAGGTTCCAATTCTTCATACAGTTAATTCTTCTTATTCATCTGATTAACTTTGGTGGGTCAGCTCACATAAGGGTAAATGTGTGTGCGGAAGGATTTGCAGCATCAGATCTTGAGTAGTCAGCATGTTATTTTGGTACCCAAAAGCATCGTAATGATTTCTTAGCTGACTCCATGCACTGATTTCATGCTCCTTGGTAAATCCTGAGCCTCTCTTGCCATTTCTTCCATCTGCCCCCAAAACCATATTGCCTTTATTTTGGATGTCTTTTTAACTGTTGTTTTATCCTGCTGAGCTCAAATTAACAAGCAAGATGAAAAGCAGTATTGTGATGCAAACTTGTGACACTGTAATAGATGCTCATCATCCACTCAGGTAGCATGATAATTGCTTTTAAGATGCCTCTCCTTTCAATCAGAGCCATACAGGTCAGACGCAATGCATTTGACACTTAAATGTTAAGAACAAGACTGTTTAAATGTACATAATTTTGTTTTGTTTTTTTACAGAGTCACAATTTGCCATTCTTCAAGGCACAGTTTTTGTTTCCCAGGACTCATCCCTAATACCCTTGCTTAAAGCAAATAGTTCCTAGGATTTTCCCTTGTGTTTTTCTTTTTTTTTTTTTTTGGACAGTCTCAGCTGCATTTGGTATTAGCAAGATTTCTGGTGAACCATGACCACTGTTTTCCTATTAAACTTTTTAAAAAGCAGGGATCTATCATTCCTATGGCAAAGTACTGAATTTAGAGCTGGTGGGGAAAAAGCACTGTTAGTAAGTCCCTTCCAAACAGAGTATCTCATAAATTTTTGCTGTTCCTGTTTCTGTCAAAAATCAGTTACGAATTCTGAAACTATTTTATTTTTCTGATTAAATGTCCTTGGTACATTTGGTTGGTCTTACTTCCATTTCTGCATACAAAAACCTTTGAATATCATAAGCAAAATCAGTGATATTTTCAATTCCTCCTTACAAAAGCCCATTAATTTTATATGCCTTTTTTTTTTTTTTTTTTGCATCAGTCCCACACTAATTTATCCTCTGAACTTTAAAACCAATCTTGCTAGACGTTGTTGTGCAGTGCTGTGTTATTTAACACCTGTGTCTGATGTATTTTCAGTTGCAGGACCAACTGCGTTAGATTCAGTCACCAGCACAGTGACAGACTGAATCAGCAGCCTTGGTTGATTATGGCCGTTCTGATTTTCTGTATCACTTGTTTTCCCTAGCACGATACATGGGAATGTCAGGTTACTTTCTGTTTTCAGAGGAGACCTTTTTCCTTCGTTCTCTTTTTGTGCGAGAATATAAAAGTGTTGATGTTACCTGACCGACAAATCCCTTGACTACATTTCTGCCATCAGAAGCCATCCCTCAGCTCATTGCAAGCACCTTACTTTCTGGAGTCTTTCATATGGATGGAGATGAGGCATCTTCACGTTCCAGCACTGCCGTAAGTTACACGCATGCCCTGGTGGAGTACAGCCCTTAGTCCATGATTGCACAGAGCATCATCAGTCTTCTCCTGATGGACTTGATGATCTCGGAGGTCTCTTCCAACCCAGTTAATTCTTTGATTCTGTGATTCTCCTGACCTCATTTCACTTGCTGTCCTGCAACCTCTGTCGCTCTCAAACCCCGAGAACTCAACCAGCCCGCTGCACACATCAGCAGGCGGGAGCGCACACAGGACAGTTTCCCGGGCAGCTCTGAGGCGAACGAGCCCTTCGCTCCCGCCACTGCAGGGACGGGCGGAGGGTCGCGGCTGTCGCGGCCGGAGCCCCGAGCCTGGGGCGAGCGGCGGCCGCTGGGTGGCAACAGCCGCCCGCTGGAGAGAAAAGTGGAGAGGGGAGACAGGGGACAAGAGCGAGGAGAGAGAAGAGAGGAGAATGGAGAGAGAGGAGAGAGAGGAAAAAGGAGAGAGAGAATGGGAAGAAGAGAGAGAGAGGAGAGGATGCGGGCACTAGATATGGTGCCGAGTGCCTTCCTGTGCTCCGCTAAATAAAAGATATCAGAACCATTAAGCACCCTGAACGCCTCTTCAGGTACCTGGAAAGGCGCTGTTTTGTACACGTTAGAAACAAATTCCTCGGTGCGTCCTCGAAACAAATCCCTGGATCACCGAGGGCACAGGTGAGTTCCGTTTAGCGCATGGGGAATCCTTCCCGTTTGGATGCCGGAACCTCCCCTTCTTCTGGAGGGAGGGAAAATTGACCCTTCCCACATCAGTGCCAGTTGCTCAAGCAGGGGAGCTGCCAGCCTGGGAAATACGCGTGACAGGTCCGTGGGTGAAGGAAGCGTGACACTGAAAACAAGAGACTTGAAGGGGAGGGTGCAGTCATTCCGAGTGTCCCCTGTCCGAACAAACTCACGGTCAACGCTTTATTTATGCATTTTATTCCTTTTAGGTTCGGGGTAGTGTATAGGTGAGATTATCATCAGTAACCCTCAAATCGGCAGAATTTATCCATAGTCTCATCCCGCTCTTGTGTTAAGCAGAGAAAGGTGCCGAGAATGTCCTGCTCCCGTTCGCCTTGGCATTTCCCCGGGATGGCTCCCCCTTTCACCTGGGGCAGTCCCAACATCATACCGATGTCGCTGCTCGGGGTGGCTGGGGAGCTGAACCATCGCTATTTCACAGATCTGTGGGTTTAACCTACTTTGAAGGTTAGCTCTGCTTCTTTGGTCAAGCTCCAGATTCCCCTCATCTCCAAAAAGTTCGATAGCCCCTCTTCAATATATTAAAAAAAAAAAAAAAATTCTTCAGGCCGGGCGTAGGGACGAATCTGAGCCCCGTTTCTACATACAGTCCTTAAACACTACTGCCTGCCCACGGGCACGCCTGAAAGCCGGGCGGCCTGCGTGGAGCAGGTGTGCGGGACTCCCCACGGCCGGGAGCCGGGGGGCACCGGCCGAGCCGGGACAGGGGCTGGGGCCAGCGCTCCCCGCCCCAACGCAGCTCGCTCGGAGCCCTGCCGGCCTGCACCGGGCCACTTTTCTTTTGCAGAAGGGGGATTCGGGCTTTTTTTTTGGGTTTCTCGCCTTCACACCATCCCCCGCTACCATTTTTTTTTAAGTATTATTAATTTATTTGAACGAATCCGCGCGGGGCGGCAGAGACGCGGACCGGGGCGCGCTCCCCCGCTGAGGGCCGTAAGCCCGCAGCCCCTCGCCCCCGCCGCCCGCTTCCTCCGCACGGGCGGGGGCGGCGGGGCGGGCCGGCAGCACCGCCCGCGGCCCCAGGGCCGCCCCTCCGCCCCGCTCTGCTCCGCTCCGCACGGCTCCGCTCCGCGCCCCCGCCGCCCCGCCGCCGGCCCCAGGCCCGCGCCGCGATGGAGGGCGGGCCCGGGCCGCGGGGGGCTGCTCGCCTCCCCCGCCGCCTGTTTCTTTTGAGCGCCCCCCCTCCTCCCCATTTCCCCTTTTCTTGAATGAAGCGTGAGGCGGAGCTCTAGGAAACCACCGCGCCCGGCTGCGCCGCGGGCCGGAGCCGGAGCCTCCCTCGGTCTCCGCTCCTCCCCGCCTCTCCTCGCCCCCGCCGCTCCGCTCCGCTCCGCTCCCCCGCCGCCGCCGCCGCCGCCGGGAGAGCTCCCCGCCCGCGCCCGCCGCCGCTCGGAGCCGCCGCCGCCGCCCGGAGCCGCCGCCGCCGCCGCCGGCAGCAGCAGCGCGGAGCGCCCGGAGGAGCCGCCCGGAGCCGGCGGGTGCGCGGGGCTGCGCGGGCGGGCGGGCGGGCAGCGGCGCCGCGGCCGCGGTCCCCATCGGCACCAATCACACCGCACACACGCCCGTCCGCGCCCCTCCTCGGCAGCGCCAGGGGCTCTTCGTCCGCCGATACAAAGCTGCTCGGGAAATGGCAGCAGTCAAAAGCAATTTTCCTTCTTTATTTTTATTTTCATTTTTTAATTAATTTTTTTTTCCGCGGTCTCTTGTGCAAAAGAATTAATTTCCTAAATACATACAGGGTTTTATTTTTTTTTTTTTTAATTTTTTTTTTTTATGTGTGCGTGCGTGTGTGTGGAAGCACCGGGCTCCTGCGATCGGTGTCTGAATGAAACTACGTAAATGCATATGTCTGTACGTTGCACTGGAGGGAAAAACAGAGCACTTCTGCGAGAGCTTGGATTCAAATGTGGTTCATCTGGTCTCCAGGATTTTCCGTCTCTTTGGGGTTGTTCGCCTTCCCAGGCTGCAAGGCGTTATTTTCTGAGCTTTGACACATTTTTGGAGATGTCTGTTAAACAGGAGTCTGGGAAAAAACATTTGAAATCATAGAAATATTTTTTTTTTGTCCCTTTCCCATCCCCTTGGTGACTTGAAGCATCAAAGCGGCCAGAACTTAACCTTTCTGAAGACTTGTGATGTTTGGATTTTATTGTTGCTATTTTTCTTTTAGAGGAAACTTGACAGAGGAACATATTTATAGTCCAAGTAAGTACTTTACAGAGGAAATTTAGTTTGTGTAACTTAACAAAAAAACCCAAAACCTAGTGTTGAGGTTTCTAGCATAAAGTGTGTTGGATTAACGTCCATCCAAGGCTGCTTTGCAAATTGTGTTGAATTGCAGTTTTTACAGTGTGTGTTCATCCACTCCTTCATGTCTATGGTAGTCCAGCACCTGGGGAAAATGCACCTGATTTTGAGTCGGTATAATATCTTTTAAGATGTATTTCAACACCGAGGAGGAAATGGTCCTAAAGTAAATTTATAATAAGTAATAAATGTGCACCTGGAAGTAAAGTCTTTACAACATTTAAATCCCTATTTATGACGTGCATCTCAAACCGAGGAGGAAACTCTGAGAAGACAAAAGTACCTCCAAGACCCCGAGAACTCCCCCACAACAGCGTGAATGAAACCGTATCCAATACAGTAACTGGATTATAATTTTTGGTGTTATTAATTTTATTATTATTGGCTGCTTTACTTTTTTGGGTTCATCCTGCTCCTCTTCTTCCTCTCTCCCTTCCTCTTGCTGCTTCCTCTTGGGAATTATGGCTCATCCGGGGAGAAGAGGCTACGATAACCGGGAGATAGTGCTGAAGTACATCCACTATAAACTCTCGCAGAGGGGATACGACTGGGCTGCCGGTGAGGACCCGGCACCCTTGCCTCCAGGTCTCTCTCCTCCTGCTGCTGCTGCGGTTGCTGCTGCTGCTGCTGCTGGGACTTCCTCTGATCACACTGGGCTGGTGTCTCCGCACCCCGAGCCCCCTGGCTCGGCTGCTGTTAGCCACACACCCCTGGCCGAGGGGCTGCGCCCCGCACCCCAGGTCGTCCACCTCGTCCTGCGCCAGGCAGGGGATGAGTTTTCCCGCCGCTACCAGAGGGACTTTGCCCAAATGTCTGGCCAGCTGCACCTGACGCCCTTCACGGCCAGGAGCCGCTTCGTGGCGGTGGTGGAGGAGCTCTTCCGAGATGGGGTTAACTGGGGCAGAATTGTGGCCTTCTTCGAGTTCGGCGGCGTGATGTGTGTGGAGAGCGTCAACCGGGAGATGTCTCCCCTTGTAGACAGCATCGCTGCCTGGATGACTGAGTACCTGAACCGGCACCTGCACAACTGGATCCAGGACAACGGAGGCTGGGTACGTTCCCCAATTGCTCCCTTCCCCTCCGGGCTCTAGCCCATGGCTGGTGGGACCCTGCATTTGGGCAGTGCCTGAGAGGTTGTACTCACGTTGTGGGGAGCAAAAGGTTTGCCTAGCGGGTGTCTGCACTGGTGTGTGCGTGGGCCTTTTGCCAGTTGTTGAGTTTCATCTTATTGCAGGGTACAGTGGAGTGGTTTGAGATGGGGGAACAGCTACAGTTCAGGAGCGAAAAGGATGAGTGAGGCAATGTCTTCATAGCAGTCTCTGCTTTCCTGTCCTTTCAGTGTCACGCTTCCTTCACCCATGGACTTGTCCAGCCTTGGCTATGGGCAGAACCAAGGCAGGTTCCTGGCCAAGGCAGAGTCCTTGCAGGGGGGCAGCAGAGATGCCCATCCAGCTGCCAGGGAGAGGCCCATCGTGGTAGTCCCAGTTGCAGGGCAGCAGGGATCACCTATGTGTGTGTGTGCATGTAGGCATGTGAAGGGTGATGTGTCAGACTGGTGTGCAACAAATACTGGTGAGCAGGTGGCCATCAGTGACACTGTCCACAGGCTGTGGTGGCAACTGGAGTGGGGTTCTATGGTATAGGATATGTCTAACATGAAAACTCTTTGTCTTGAGATGAAACAAAGGTACTGGGAGCTGTGTCTGTGGGATTGTTCTGGAAAATGAGTATTTGTTGTGATCTGATGGGTGACTGTGTTTCTGGGGTTGAGATCACCTGTGTCTGGGATGGGCTTCAGCATCATCTAGAAAGGAAAGATTTCCACTTGTGGAAAATGAACAGCTTTTATACTGATAGTCAGTCAAAAGCCTTTTCTTTTTCTCTTTCCCTCTCTTTCCAAAATTAAGAACTGCATTGAAATTGAAGGGGTATTTCTTTCCTTCTTTCCTGTATTAATTGATATACTGGAACAAAACACGGTCCCAGCCGCTCTCCCACAAACCAAACCTGTTGTACATGTAGAACTTATGATATTAATGCCTTGGAGGAAGAAATGGCAAAAGTTATGCTTCAGAAGAAACCTTGTGTCTGGGCTGAGAGCTGGTGTAAAGACACCTAGAAATTGAGGTCAGCTAGGTAGGACACGTGCAATTTCAGGTCCAGTGCCATGTGAAATACAGAGAGCTGACTCAGTGGCACAGCACACCTTTAAAAGATGTGTGTAAAAGAAGATAAAATACAGTATATGTTTCCCAGTTAACATGTTTTGCAAGTCTGGTGTTTGTGAAGCATTGTCGCATGAAACTTTTAGTCCTGGGTCTCTTGCTAAGTCAGTGTTATGCTAAATAATGTGTTGCCTACATTAACCATCTCTGTCAAAAAATGAAGATGCTGCCTTCCCACTGTTGAATCCATCTGACGAAAGGGGATCCATGTTCAGGGATCCAGAGGACATCTACCTGCTGATGACAGGAGGAAGATGAGGGCATCTTCCTCCATAATGGAAGGCGCAAAGCTTTGGGGTCCTTTTCTCAGCAGGAATCCACACTGCACACCTTCCAGAGGAGTGCTGCTGATCTCTGGCTACAAGTCACATTGGAGGCAGGATTGTTCTCCTGCTCTCCTCTGCTTCCACCAACAAAAAAAAAAAAAATTCAAGATTCATGGGGCCAGAAGAGGGAGCAAAAAATGTGTGTCCGTGCACATGTGTGTCTGTGCATTTATATAAATATATATGTATATACAAATATACACACATATACAGACACACCCATATGTATGTGCACACATACACATAAAATTACTCCAGCGCTTAATGGTTGGGACCACACTTGGGATAGGGAGGTCTATGCCCTCATCCCCTGTTTCATGGATCACTACAGGGGGTTTGTTGGTGTAGTGTGGGGCTTTTTTCACAAAACAGATAACTGTGGGAAGAAAAAATCTGCAGACGTTTCAGGCTTTTGGAGACCCTGTCTGGTTAAAAGGCAAGCAGCTAAAGGGTTAGGGATTTTGTGATTGCACTTCTGGGCTGGGATGCCTAACTTGTGCGTAAGTCCCTCCTCAGGCTGGAAGCCGGTTTGCAGAGCTGGGGCTGAGTTTGCTCCAGAGCCAGTGAAGTCATTCTGTTGACTCCAGTGAGCTTTGGATCAAATCGTAAGCGTGCTGGAGATGTATTGTGCTGTGGTGTATTGTGTAAAGAGAAACGTAAATAATGAATAAAACCGAGAATGTGAAAGTACAGGTGTTACCAGGCGTGATTGGCCAGAGGAGATGAGTGCTGGAGCTGTTTCTTGACAGTTAGAAATACAAGAAACTTGGGACTGTAAACAATGTCTGCCTTTAAAAGGAAAGGACACTTCTTATCGATAACCATTTAGTTCTTTATTCAGGTTTGCTATCAACAAAAGCTTCAGAATTTGGATGCATGTGATACCGTTTACTGTCGTGTGTTATTTGTAATGTACACATGGGAGAAGATGTGCAAAATACTACTTGAAGGTGCTTTTGCCTGTCTGTCTGGTACATGGTTGTTACCTTTGAGTCATATTAAACACAGGCAAAACCTTCTAGCTGATTACAAAGAGCAAAAGACTAACATGAAGTTGCTAACACAGCTTTTGATATCATCTCTTCACACAGAAATCAAGGACAGAGTAGGGCACTGGATTTTTCTTCTTTTTCTTTCTTAGCTTTCAGGATCTGTCAGCTTAAAAGGATGCTTTAATGTATGCACTCAGTCTTCAACTTGCCTCTTACCCCATGTAAGAACGTTATTAAAACCTCATAGATGGCTCTTCTGAAGTAGCCTTGTAGGTGGTGATGCTTGGTAGGACTTCAGCACGGCTGCCTGTAAGATCTCCCTGTCATGCAGGTTGCTGCAACAAGCAGGAGCTCCAGCAGCTGTAGCCTTCTTCCCCTTTATGTTGTGGCTCCCTGGTATGCTGTCGAGTGGTAAGTTTATTAGAGGGTGCATATACTTACTAGAGAAGAGAGCATCACAGTCACGGGCGTATGTTACTCAGCAAGTAAGTTGGACAGCACGTGCCTTGTGTCTGTTGTATGGGCCTGTGTCTTACACTCGGGTCTGATGTTTGGTTGGCATGTTTTTCTTATTTATCTGTTAGGTTTGAATCGGTTCTATGAGTTGGCAGTGTGTTTTCAGGATATGAATTCTTTAGGTTACAAGAGAAACAAAGAAGGGAGAAGCGTATCAAAGGGCAGGTTGGAAGGGAGATAGAGCTGGTGGAGCATAAATTTTAGGCATTAGACATCACTGATAATGGTGTCTGGGGATTGTTAATACCCTTACAATACATGGCATCGTGGGTTTGTTCAAAACTTAGAAAAAGCAACAGATGGGGACTGCACGGAATCTGTATTATTAGCTTGTGGTTCTGGTGGCAAATAAATACCGCTTTCAAAGATTTTCACTTAGACCAGGATACCGCACTATTGTAGCTTGACCTGATAACATCTTAATTGTATTACTAAAGAAATAAGAGGAGAACGAGCTCATCTCTGCAATTTCGTGGTACTTGGTATGATGTGTGCTTTCTGATTAAGAACTTAATGGCTTCATTTTGATTTTCAGAGCGGCAGGAGTGGCTGTCGCACTTGGCAGCTTTTGGCATTGACGTGGGGAACGCTGAAGTGATGCAGTCGGTGTGGGGGAAATAACTGTGTTTGTCTTGCAGTGATGGGTTCCCTCTTTGGGCATACAACCTAACAGGCGTGGGAGCCATGCTTAGCTCTGGGCACTTCTAGTCCAACATATGGCTTCCTCCCCAAGCTGTTCAAGAAAAACCAATTGTGAGAACTACAGAAGGAGACACAGGCATCGTCATATTTACATAGAAAAGTGCATTTTTGATGTAAGGAATAAAGAAGGCCAGGTGAGATAAGCAGTGTTGTGTTGAAAATTCAGCTGGGAACACATAATTTTAAATTATAATATTTACAAATATTTACATTTGAACCAGGAATGCAAGGGTCATGTGTTTTCATCTGATTCTCTTCTTTTGTTGCAATTCTTTGTTCTATTTGAGAGTTAAGGCCAGAATACAGGAAAGGATTTAGGTGCCTGAATTGGACATTGGGTGGAACATTAGTGCTGACATCGTCCAGGTGCCTGCCTAGCCAGAACAGTGAGAGAAGTCCCTGACTTCTCGCTGTTCCTCACCCAAGCTAGTCAGAAGAGGGAGCCACTCAGCATGCTGTGGGAGACACTGTTCCCTAGAACCTCTATGTCCCAAAGCTGGCAGGCACCCTCTGGCCCACCTGCTCTCACTCAGGTGCGTGCGATCCTTGCATGCAAACACATTTGAGGAGAAACTCCCACTTTTCCTGGTGGCTCCTTAGTTAAGGCCACTCCCAAGCTTTGCCAACAAGACTTTCTCCAGCCTGGCAGGGGGTTGTACATCCGCATCTCCACTATCAGGAGGTTTCACCTACCAGATGGCTTCTGATTGTGCTGAGGTGTCATCCCCTTTGGCAACAGGGCTCCTCCTCCTCTCAGGGGTGAGATTTCATTTGGTGGAGGAGGAAGAACTGGGTTGTCTAATTCCAGCAGTCCAGTGTGTTTTCTCAGATGGCTGTCTACAGCCAGATGAATGAATGCTTCTTGGACCAGCAAGTAGACCCCAGGTTTCCCTTCTCCTGAGTTGACTGTCCTCGTCACTGAGCTTCCTCTTTTTTTTTTTTTCTTCATACCTAGTGAATCACTAACCTTTTTTGCTTGGTGGCATGCCTTGGAAAGGAAGCTTGGAGGGTCTCTGTACCCTGCAGTGGTCCATGGCCCTCTCATGAAGGTGATGGATGGCAGATACATCTGCCTCTGGGACAGAGCTAGGGGTTGTGGATAGCGGTGTGACACAGGACCCTTTGCGAGCTCATGTGTGGGGCACTGACTGAAATCCCATCCCTTTCAGGATCTGGAGCTGCTTTCCCAACAGCTCTGCGAGGCACCCACCTGCACAGAACATTGCTTCTCGTGCAAGTCCAAAGCAAAAGCCTCTTGCTCATTCACCATGGGACTTCACCTTGCCTGGAG